CATACAGACCTCTGAACCACCACACTTCCACTGTTATTTTTTAACCACACCAGCTAGATTAAAGATAGTGGGACTATGCCTAAACTTTCTGCAATCACACCCCCGCATGCAGCCTGGACATTGCCCTGAGATTGTGAGTATCCCCTTGTTCTTGCGTTATGGGAGAGGGTGAATGGGAGCACCCAGTTGGTTTTCACTATATCAGGTAACGACAAGGCAAAGAACACTTGGTGAATGAAAAGCTCCCAAATAAAGTTATTAGTGATTAGCCCATGACTCCAGTTATCAATAAAACAACAGCTAGAAACATTCCAAACACTTGCTTTGAGAACTGCCTGTAATATGATGCCAGTATGCGTCCTTGTTACAGCCTGTGTCATGAGTATCAGAAGTTTGATGTCCCCTTCAATTATAAGGAGCTACATTCTGCCCTCAGATCTACACACACAACTTCCAGTGTCTTCAAGAGGAGCTATGCGGAGGTATCTGCAGGCCGAATCTACCCAGCATTCCTCAGAGTTGATTTTAGCTCTCAGTTGCAAGTGTGACTCCCATGGATTTCAATAGAAGTTGCACTCATGTAACTAAGAACAGAATTTGCACCTTAACATTCATGCAGTGCTTTATGCTTTCAAAACATTTTATGAACATTAAATTCATTATCTCTACACTCACCTTGTTGGTCAGGGGGAATTATTACCCACATTTTACTGGCTCACTGAGGCACAAAAATGGTATGTTAGTTGCTCATGGCCATACCACAAGTCAATGGCAGACCCAGGACAGGAATTGGGGGAATTTCTGCCTCTCAGTCTTACATATAAACTTCTAGAGCACTGCATCAGATTATCAGAACAATCGGTACATTATTAGTCATACGCTAGGTGGACACAGGGAGAAAAACATAATAGCCAGCTGTTGCATTAACAGAACATTGCATTGAGGACCATCAATAGATCTTATTCCCTATGGTGCTGCACAGAATTGTTAGGTATTTCAGGTGCCATTTGCACCCTTCTTAGGACCGTGTTGGTAAAGGGGTTGGAAGTGGATATCTTTGAACAATTGTGAAGCCATCTGCTGATGGCCCATCGGTCATGTTGCTCTTAGTTCTCATACAGCTAGCCCTTGCTGTCTGCCTGCAATGGTGACATGGAGACAGGTGCCGTGAGGGCAAGGAATGCAAGCCATAGGTGCGTTCTCATGTCCAAAATAGTGCCCTCACATCTGATATTGGTAGTTCAAAACCAGTGCTCAATTTGTTTTTTCAAACCACCCCAACCCCGCTACATGGAACCAGGACATGTTTGTTTCACTACATTGTTTGGACTGGGTGGTGCTTTGAGAGCCACATGGGGCGACACTTCATGGTAAACAACAGTGAGATGGGCAGTAAAACAGGTGCCTAAACCACTCCCACAATGCAGTGTGAATAAGGGACCATGCAGCCAGAGGAACAGCGACAGAGAGCTAGAGGGAGGCATGCGTGGTAAAGGAGATGCAAATCTAACCAATGGGGCCACATCTGGATTGCCAGTGGGGCTGCCTGGATAGAAGTGAGGACAGATTTTGAAGCTATGCAGAGACAGGCTGCGTGGGGCCTTGAACAGCAGCTTGCAGCAGCATTCCAGGTCTCTGCAGTGCAGCCTGGATTCATCCCCCGGAGGAAGGAGCACTGTGACTGCCACATTTTCACTCAGTAAGATGAGGCAAAGGGAGCAGACTGTAGGTGGCAGCCAATTCTCAGCCACGAGCAGCAGCACAGGTCAACCGAGCAATCATTGAGGGTGGGGGAAGAAGCAGCCGGCTCATTCTTCCCTCATCAGGAGAAGTCGATGGTCCCTCCTGGGCTACTCCCTGCCCTTGGCCTGGGAGGTGTGGGGCTGAGCCTCCAGCGAAGAGGGTAATGTGGTGGCCTAGGAAACAATGCCAGAAAGTGCCCAAATGCCTCATCCAGTGGCTTCCTTCTGCAGCACGGGGCGTTCTGATCTCTCTTCCCAACTCACACTGTCCTTTGGGTGTTTATCTCCCTGGCACACACTGCATGCCCCCTCCCTTCCCCCTCACTGCCATCTGTTTTTCTACTGATGGCACAGGATGAGCTGTTCTGCTAGCCTTTGAGCCCACTCCCCACTAAATTGCATTCCTGATGAGCGCTCCGAGCACTCTCAATCCCTCTCTCAGTCTTTGCATTACGTGCCTCACCACCCTCTGGATGGGGAATTTGGCAAGAGCCAGAGAGTGTGTCAGATGGACAGCAAGATTAATGGATGGAGAAGGAAGACGGGGCGGTCGGACTGCTCCAGTGCCAGATGCATGATGGAGACAAGGTAAATGATTCCAATGTCATCACAAAGTGACTTGATATTTCCAGCTGGAGGCTTGGAAGCTAGGGCACCCTAGAATTAGTCCGGCTAGGGCTGGGACAGCTTGGAGCCTGCCCTCGGATAACACTTCTGCACCCCACCTGCTAGTGACTCCTGTTGGAAGAGACTGCAACTCTAGTCAGCAAGAGTTCCTGCACTGCCAGTGATTCCCTCACAATCAGAGGCCTGGGGTGGCTGGGTGCTCTCTCGTACCCAGCGCTCCTGCTGCCAGCAGCTGGGACTGCAGTAGCTTGTAGCAGCCCCACAGGCAGCACTCCTGCACCATTCCTTACAAGGCTCTTGCTCAAAACAAGAGGTGAGGTGCAGAGCTAATGACCTAAGACTTGCTAAACTATATCTTTGGCTGGCATGTACCAAGCTGGGCAAGCATGGAACTGCCCCCTTTTGCTATGGTCTCTGCTATGGTCACCCACTATGATCATGCAGCTGAAGAGATTCTTTCTTACACACTGTGTAAAAAGAGTTACCTTTTAGGGAGCACAAAAGAGGGAGTGGGAGTCCCTTCTAACCACCATTGAAAGGATCAGTGTTTGCCTGTATCTCAAATTTGGGATCAGAGGAAAGCCCAGTTCTATCTGGGCAGCTTTAGAGGACTGCCAGATCTTAGAGTCCAGAAGGAACCAATATGATCATCTAGCCTGACCTCCTGCAGAACACCGGCCAGAGAACCTCACCTGATGATTCCTGCTTCAAGCCCAACAGCTAACAGTTATAGGATATGCTTTAGAAAGACACTAGCTCATGATTTAAAGCCTTCAGGTGATGGAGAATCCACCATGTTCCAATGGTTATTTACCCTGGCTGTTAAACAGCTGCTGTAGCACGTAACATACTTCTACTGTACTTGAAGGATATTAAGTACACTGGTGCTATCTTACTGTCCCACTGGGGACTGGGATTGATGCTGCTCTAAAGCGTCCCCACTGACCCCAGGGAAACTTATAGCAGAATTGTGCCTTTAAGGGATGCCTCCCCTTGCAGAACTAACAACTCGTAGGGACACAGGCACTGCCAGGCTGGATCACATCTGATGTCCATCTCTCCCATTAGCTCCTCTCCAACAGTGGTCCATACCAGATGCTTCAGAGGAAGGTACAACAACGCTGCACTAGACAGGTGTGAGATAATTTGTCCCTCCACCTACCCATTAGATCTCCTACTGACCTTTCCCAGTCAGAGACACTCTTAAGTCCTGAAGCATGAGGCTCAATGGCTCTTCCATACCATTTCCATTGTCTTTAGTTATGATAATTTAGATAGTCTTGATATCCGTATAGTTACCCAATTCTTTACTGACACTTCCAGTGCTTCACTGGACCCAGGGGAGGAATCACTCCCTTTAATTTAAAGCATTGCTTGTGAAATGTGCCAGATTGGCAGCCCCTGGAGACTCAAGTCTCCTACTTATCCATGGAATAGGGCAGAGCCATGAAAGCGGCTCTCACACAGCCCTGCCACAGGCCTCGTTCCTGACCTGGAAGGGGAAAACAGGTATTTTAGAAGTATTCAGGCCTTTACTTCTCTGCTGAAACTGCCAGCAGCAGCAACTGGTTAGGGGCTACCTGGGAGATGGGCTGAAACCAGCAAACTCATTTCACCTAGGACACCAAACAGCCCTGAGTTGGTAACGATATCCACTTGCTACTTACTTGGACTGGCCCGAGAGGGTGACCTGACAGTCTCTTCTTGCCTTAAGTTCCTCCTCAAAACTCGCCCGTTGTAATAAATACAGTAAACGGAAACACTATACAGTCAAGAGAAGCACATGGAGCACATGATAAAATGGTGTAAAGTTGCTCCCAAATGCAAGCTGCCTCCAGTGAGACAACATGTCTTGTGCTCATGAGTCTGTGTCATTCTCGTGCCCAGCAGCACTCCACCAACTGGTAACCAATTAAGCCATTCAGCCCCCTCTCTCTGGAGCTTGCAGCTCACACATGTTAGGCACACATACTCCTCTCATCACTCATTTATTCCACCCTTTTGCATTCATTCATTAGCTCTGCACTGTGGCCTGTAGAATTAAATTCCTGTCCAGCTTGTCTTACGGATACAGGAGATAAAGGACAGCATAAAAGAGCTGACAGGAGCATTCTCCCAGAACCTGAACTTCAAAGAAGTGTGAATAAATTCATCCCTACACCCCCAAGCTTTGGGAAAGTTCTGATCTGCCTCCAAACTCTGTGGTGTGGACCTCAGCTCTGTTGTTCATTTCACATTTCCTGTTGCTAGCCTGGGTCCAGAGTGCCAGAAATCACATGAGGAAGCCTGTGTTCACAAGATTTCAAGACCAACTTCTAAACTCACATCATCTGGAGAGTTCAGATCAGTCAGCCTGGGTACTTATTCCAGCCTTTTGGGCTTTGCTCACCAGGGGAGACATCTTAGCAGGAGAAGGTGCTTTGAAAATCCAAACTTGTCATTGCCACGTTACTCAACTGGTGCAAAGGCTTTTCCTTTGCTTATGAAGAACATTCACCCTGGCCTCTTTGCTAAGCCAGAAAACCCTGCCGTAGACCATTCAAACTCTTGCCAAGGCAAACTAACCCCACCCTTATGATGGACTGAGTATGAAACCCCAGCCCAAAGTGCTGTTCATGCCAGGGGCCTTACCTCACATGACTGGATGCAGTGAATGACTGTAGGGTCTGGGTGCCATCGCAACCTACCAGTGCACACAATGTTCTATGGAGAAAAAGGAGAACACAGCTGTCAGGTGACCCAGGAAAGGCAAAGGTGCCCTAGGAGCCTATTAGAATTATTATACCACCACATCTCTCTGCATCGCCAGTGGTCTGCTCAGGTTCTGCAATGGGTTTCTGTGCATCTGCTGTGCAGCCCAAGGATCCCACTCTCTCACCACCCCTCAGATCCTGTGTCACAGCCAAACTCCTGCCAGCTGAGGAGGTCCGGATGGGGACCTTCCTTCCACTAGTGCTGTTGAGTTTGAAGAGAGCAGGGACTGAGATTTGGCAGCTTTGAAGAAGATGATTAAAGAATAAAAAGGAATTAAACTCTCTAGAGCGACAGAGAGGTGGTGGAGGCCACGGACGGGCAGCTCAATGCACTGGCTTGTCACACTCAGGTCAACTCCTCTAGAGATGTTGAACTGGTTCACCAGTTAGATGGCCACAGATAAGAAGGTCTGGCCTCAGCACTAGTGGATAATTAGCTAAAAATGAGCTCCCAGTATGACTCTGTTGCCAACAGAGCTACTGCAATCCTGGGATGTATAAACAGGGGAATCTCAAGTACTATAGGAATAGAGAGGCAGAAGCTGAGCAATCCCATGGCTGTGAATTGAAATGTCTGGCTGGGTAATCGAGTGGCCCATGGCTTAGCTGAGCTATCAGCCCAGCTGTGTGTGAGGATGTTCCACATAGCTGGGCAGTCCTATTGGCTGGGCTTCCCTCTGCTTGACATAAACATATCTTTGAATAGCAGATGGCAGCCCAAGGGCACGTTAATAATCACTGCACTGAGCAAGCTCTCAGCTCTGTCCCGCAGAGCTTACTCCTGCGGCAATGGCCTTCCAATCACCCCTGCCGTTCTCAGCTCTCCCAGGGGCTCAAAGAACAGCCCCTCTGTTTAACTCATCCCCCCATCCCCAACCTCCATAGCTTTTCTCAGTCTCTCACCCATCACCCAACTTTGTTCTCACTGTGCCCCCTCCTCAATTCCAACCTCTTCAGTCACCAGGGCAGAATCTATCCCTCGGCCATCACTCTCCATTCAGGGTCGCCAAATTCCAGCCAGGACAGCGGCACAGAGCGCTGGCTGAGGGAGCCGAGCCTGTTCAGTTCCCTTTACCTAACAGCCATGCAGAATGCTTCAGCAGCGTACAAACGTTGATCCTCCCCACAGCCCTGTCAGATGAAGACAGTATTACCCCTCCCCCCATAGTCTAGATGAGGATATTAGGGCAGAGAGATGGAGTGACCTGCTCAAGGCATGAAGCCAGTCAGTGGCAGAGTCAGAACTGGAACATGACCCTACTATTTTCACCTGTGCCTCTCTAAATAGGCCCATTGTGGGCCCCCACCCTTCCCTTCTCCACTGGAATGGCAGCTCTTGCTGCGTAGGTGCCTGACCAAGGGCCAATGCTGTGAGAGGAAAGCATACTCCAAGGGAAGAAATAAATGTCTATCTATCAGCAGGGAGGGAGGAAGGAGCAGAGGCGAAGGGAGCAAATAAAACGATATGTTTCAGTGACAGGTCCTGGCAAAGGGAAGACATTTTCTTAAAATAACCCCTTCCCCTGCTCTCTTCCACCCCCCATTCACGAGAGGCGATGGTGCTGGCGGAAGGAAAGCCAAAAGCCAGCGTCCCGCAGAGCTGAGCGATATGATCCTTCATACCCGAGGCCTCCTTCCAAGACCTAGCTAACGATCCCACATGCCACAGCCCTCCCCCAGCCGGTGATTTGCAGTGAGTCTGATTCAAACTGACGCACGGGAGTATCCACAGGCATGAAGTTCTGGTAACCGTGAGCCTCCTATGAGCTCCCAGGAGGGGAGAAAGGTGGCTGGAGGAGAACACTGGCTCCCAATAATATTACTTGCTTCTCTTCCACCCCCTCTGACGCGTTTCATTTTTATTTTAAGAAATATTACCCCTGGCGGAGCCGCTTTTGGATGTTATAATCCCAAGTATTTGAGCCTTTCTGCTGGAAAGCGCATGAGGGGAGGGAAGAAGAGAGGGCAGTTGGGGGGATGGCGAAGCTCCACACTTCACCGCCATCAGGCATTGGAAACAATCTGCAATGCGTTCCTGGAGCTGTCAACAGGTGAGAGAGCCCTGAGACGCCTGGTGGAAGTTTAGTCTGAGCTGCTAGTGAGTCTGCCAGACACGAGTGTTGCTTTGGCTTTGTGTGTGGCTTCAGCTCCTGTATCTATGTTGTTTCGTGTATTTGCCAAAGACAGCGGCCCACGGGGGGAGACTTTCCAAAAGCACCTAAGGGATTTAGAAGCACAAGTCCCACTGAAGAAGCAGTGGGATTTGTGCTCCTAAATCTCCTCCTGGATTTCTGCAGCACTTTCCATCCCCCGAGAGTCCAAAGAGGTCGATGGACACTTTCTCATCTGTGTCTTTGTACTGCATATTATATTACATAGAGAAACCGTTACAAGAACATTAAAGTTGCAAGCTCAAGCACTCGCCAGTTAGGAAATGCCTGAATTAAGGTTGCCTGTGCAATCCTGATTTGGCCCCCTTGTGCATATGTTGTATGACAAAGCATTCAATGACATGCCTCATGCAGTGCACAGGATGGACAGCACTCACTGAAGGAGCAGCTAGCCAATATTTGGTTTTCTCTTCTTTGTTCAAAGGGTGGCCCCCAGGCCTTATTTACTGCATGCTACCCAAACGCTGCTCTGAAGACAGAATTATTAGTTTCCTCATGGGCTTTTCTTCTGGTACTCATCATTGTAGCTCAAGGGGCAGAGGTCTTTGTGGTGGATCTAAAGGTTCCTGCTGATGACCCATGTGGTGTCAATGTGATTCCACTTGATGGGATTTCTGTTTTTCCAGTTTGTACAGCAGGAGATACTGGGATGAGGCACCAACGGGAAGAGAGAGACTAGACTGATAGCAGTAGTAAGTTATTGCCCTCTTTGTGAACCAGCCACTAGACTCTAGAGGGACACACTTTGGCAACGGGTTTCACAGCTATTTGGGGACAGCAGGGGAATGCTGAGACTCTGGATTCTTGGGTTCCAGTCCAGGTTCTAGAGGGGAGTATGCTCTAGTGGGCCTGCTCCCCTCAAGACTGACCCCTTCTGTCAATGTACCCTCTAGCCCAGGGGTGGGCAAACTTTTTGGCCCGAGGGCCACATCTGGGTGGGGAAATTGCACACAGGGCCATGAATGTAGGGCTGGGGCAGGGGGTGTGGTATACAGGAGGGAGTGTGGGAGGGGGTGTGGGGTGCAGGAAAGGGCTCAGGGCAAGGTGTTGGGGCAGAGGAAGGGTGCGGGGTGTATGAGGGGGCTCAGGGAAGGGGGTTGGAGTGCAGGCAGGGTGCGGTGGGGGCTCAGGGCAGGGAGTTGGGGTGCAGGAGGGGTTCGGGGTGCGGGCTCCGGCCCAGCGCCGCTTACCTGGAGTGGCTCTGGGGTGGCAGCGGCACGCACCGGGGCCAAGACAAGCTCCCCGCCTGCCTGCCCTGGCCCCGCGCCACTCCCAGAAGCGGCTGGCACCACGTCCCTGAGGCCCCTGGGGTGGCAGAGGGCTTTGCATGCTGCCCTCACCTGTGGGAACCCTGTGGTTCCCTGTTCCCAGCCAATGGGAGCTGCGGGGGGCAGTGTCTGCAGGCGAGGGCAGCGCACAGAGCCCTCTGCCTCCCCTCCCCCAGGGATGTGGTGCCGGCCTCTTCTGGGAGCGGCATGGGAATCCCGTGGGCCAGATCCAAAACCCTGAGGGGCCGGATTTTGCACACCCCTGCTCTAGCCTGTCCCTGTACCAGTCCTATCTCTCCTCCTCCACCCCAGCAGCTCTTCACCCCCGTCAGTCCCAGTCACCCCACCAGCTCCCCACCCAGCCAGTCCCAGGTCCTCATCTGATCTCAGTCTTACCCTGAACCCCTCTGTCTCACACTCCCCTGTGCTTCCCTGTTCCAGTTCCTCTGTTGCCCTGGATTTAAAGGGTATGTATACTCCAAAATGTAATCAAGTTAATTACAACCATAGTATGTGCATTCAGCCACCCTAAATTAATAAAATAGACCACCACATAGTTAAGGGTTAATTTAAAAACAGACTTTCAAAAGCAAGGTCATATCTAGCTGGCAGTTTCTGCTAATCAAAATAAAAAACAAATAATGAAAAAACCTTAAGTCTAGATGCCTCTAATATTAAAAAATTTAATACTAAAAGTTAATAAAAATTTTGAAAAATAATAATACAGTAGGGGTCATTATAACCTATGTGTTTTATAAAAGTTAATTATAAAAAATTAGTTAATAAAGTATACTTTGGCGCAGTCCTCAGACGACACCTTGAGGGATGTTTTTCCTGACACCCTTTCTCTCCAGTGGGTGAGCAACTGGCCACTGCGAACCTGCTGTTAATTACTCAGTACCGTCCCAGATGTTAGGTAAATATCTGGAATGTTCTAAACCTATTGCTTATGTTTGTGTGTGCTTAAATCAAATAAACCTCAGTTTTAGATAGAGCACGCTTACTTGCATTACTCCTTGATCAGACAGAATCGTTGAGTTCCTATTGATTTATTCCTTACACTGCCTAAAATAAAATAGCTAAGTTGCCCCTGTTGGGGGTTCTGAAAACCCGGGTAACACCCCCTCCCATGCTCCTTATTCCAGTCTACTCCTTCCAGCACACCACTCCATTCTCAGACCCCAGCTCTTGTCCTCCTGCTGCATTTCAGTCAGGCAGTTTTCACCTCCTCCAGGCTGCCTGGCTGCCAGGCAGAGGGTCATTGAGAGCGTAGGAGAAACAAGTTCTGTTGTCATAGTTCCAGTGCCTGGCCCCACTCTAGCTAGAAGCAGCAAGGAGCAGCAATTGCAGGAAAAGTCCTGCTCAGCCCCTGCATCCCTGGGCTGGAGCATTCCCAGTGCAGACAGAAGCTTTGGAGAATTTAGCTGCCAAAGTTTAACAAGTCTCTACAGAGCATGTGTGAACGGAGTCTTTTCAAGGGCTTATAATTTGGCCAAATGTGGGTGGATTTTCACACAGATGGCGCAAGGCCAAGCTCTGACACAAAGGCCATCCCCTGCCAAACATCAAGTGTCTGCTCCAAAGCATGGGGGTGCTAGAGCTCCTCCAGGAATAATTTTTTTTAACTTGGGCAAAAAAATATATTTTTCCCTAATCAGGTTTTTGGAAGTGGCTGAGCCATTTGTGCTGAAACGTTCCAAAACCATTTGACACCCAGCCTGGAAAATGTCACCCTTAATGGTTAAAGGTTGGCAAAGGTATAAACAACTGAAAACAAGGTTTTATAATGGGATGTGTTGTGGGAAGTTAACGATAGGCAGCACTACCAGACCTCCCTTTAATACATTATGGCCATTCCATAACAGATGTCTAAAAGGAAGCACTTAATTCCATATTCAGGCCTGTAAATGGGTGGCTTGATTGTTAGAGGCACTAAGGCCCTGACATCTCCCAGAGAATGGCAGGGTTGGCCTGCAGAAGTCCAGTGCCTTTAAATCCAGCTCCGTGGTTGTGTCCGATTGCCTGAGTGTTTTAAGGTAGAACTGCTCTTTAGGCAGAGATGGCTGCTCGCTCCATGTTCACAGCTGGTAGCAGGAGGGGCTTCTCCAACTTGCTCACTGTTCTCTGAACACTCCCCTCCCTAGAACATTTGTGTCTCTGCCAAGCTCCCTCCTTCTCCCAATCTCTCTCTTCCTTCTTCCCACAGGCCTGCCATTCTTTACTCTAACATCATGGGAGGTGCGGGGGTGGGAGGAACCATGCAGGCAATCAGTAAATAAGCTAAGCCTCACCTTCAATCCCCAGAATTTGCTGAAAGCTGCTCTGGGAGCCAGCTACAATGGAATCAAAATGATACCTTCACATCTCAGGAATCATTCTGTCTCAGTGTACCTTAAACAGCGAGACAACGCCCCCCCCCCCCCCCACACACCCTTTACCTGGACTCTGGTAGGTTCCAGACGGTGGTCCATAGTGTCAGCAGTCATGTTTTCGGGGAGCATCACTGCGTCACTGGGAGGGATTATACAGGATGGTATGCACACTGCACCTGAGACAGAAGAGACACAGGATTGGAGACTCACCAATAGGTCATTACATTTATGGGCTACACACTCTGTAGCGCTTTCTTTGGTAATAAGGGACTTATGTTATAGGGGGAAAGGGGTTTCCCCAGTGCTAAGAACTAGGCACTACAGTGTGATAGAGGCAGACCCAGGAGAGACCTTCTATTTGCCAGTTCTGGGGATTGGGCTAGAATTCCCTTCCAAAATCCCAACCAATCATGGGAGAATCTTGGGGTTCACACAGCTATGCTGCCCACCCCAGAACTGAACTGAAAAGTCAGAGGACACAAAGTCAAATGTTCTGCAGAAGGAAGCACCTAGAAAGTGGTGAAGTGACTCTTGTGCACTGGTGACTCTATATTGTCTTGCAAGCTCGGCTGGCAGGACATAGGACAGACCCATAAAAATAGGACTGTCCTGTATATCTAGCAATGATCCTACTGTGGTTCCTACACTATCTTCAACAAGCCAAACCATGGTCCTAATAATGTTACAGGCAAAATTTCCATTGACTTCAGTGGAATTGGGATTTAGCCCTAAGGGAATAAAATATATTGGTTATGCAAATGACTATATAACCTGTAACATTTGGACTTTCTGAAAAACATCCCCACAAATCAGACTTTGCAATGCAGATCTTTGCTTGAAAATTCTGGAACGAGAGACCTGTCCATAGTTTATGTCTTCCAGCCTCCTGGGTACTGCAGGAAGGACAGCGGAGCACAGAACAGCACTGTGTTCTACACAATCAACGGGGTATTAAATGATGGAATGCAAGCTGGCCACAACTACTGACTTCTTGTCCTATGGCAGTACAATAAGGCCTGGCTCCTAAGAGCTGAAGGCTAAAAGATTGATTATCTTGAGGCTAAAAGGTTAATTAGAATGGAAAAAAATTCGCAGCCTAATATAAATCACTGGCATGGAGGCAGCTACACAGGTAAAAAGGTACAAACACTACTCCTGGGGGAATTCTGCGCCACTGCGCAATGCAGAATTTGCACAGAATTAATGTTCTCTACAGAATTTCCTTCCCCCGCCCCCCCCAACAGAATTGGCTCTGCAGAGGGGCTGGCCGCCACTAGGGACCTCTGGACCTGGCAGAGCCCAACTCCCCAGCTTGCAAATAGAAGACACTGCCAGGGGGAGGAGGATGGAGCTGGAGAACCCCCGGCAGCTGCAGTTCCCTGCACACCCTGAAGGAAGAAGGCAGCGTGCAGGAAACTCCATACAAACCCAGGACCCAGCATCAGGCTGTTTCTTCCTCTGGATCCCGGGGCTCTGGAGGAGTAAAGGGTGCGGGTGTCTGGGAAAAGGGGGTGCCCCATGGCTGGGCTCTGGGGGGGAGGAGTGTGGGTGTCTGGCCTCCCCAGCTGGGCTCTGGTGGGGAGGGAACGGAGAAACAGAAACTGGGTTCTCATAGGGGTTTCTTTAACTCTCTGTTCCTGGGGGGAAATTTTTGTTTTTTTTGTGTCTGTATTGTTACGGACATTGTTTCTGACAGGTATAATTGAAACTGGCATGGATTATATAGTGTTATTTTGACAAATAAAATATACAGAATTTTGCAGAATTTTAAAATGTTGTGTACAGAATTTTAAAAAGATTTTGGCACAGAATTCCTCCAGGAGGAAGACCAAAGGATAGTTCATCTTCTAAGGCACTGAACTGGACATGGGACAATGCCACAGGGATCTTTACTGTGATGCTTTAGGGTTAATGAAGCAGTTTTCATTGTACGAATGTTATGACCAATGTGAATTTACATAATGCCACGGATAGAGGCGATTTACTCTTCCATATACCGGGGCATTCCAAACCAGGGGAGCTTTGGGATGGCTCAGCTTGTCTGGTCTGAGTGTTGTTTCTGAAGGCAGTATTTGTTTATTGCGGGAGAGGAGGATATTAGTGTTAAGTTTATTTTGCTGCGATTGCTTTGGGTCTCATTTGTATTGTTGTTATATCAACTAAAACCAACTATTATTATTGTGACAATAATGCCTAAAGGCCCCAGCTGAGGTCGGGGCCCCATCATACTGAGCATTGTACAAACACATCATAAGAGGCCATCCTTGGGCCAGAGAGCTTACAATCTAAACATACAAGAAAGAGGAAGGGTGGGAGGAGAAACTGAGGCACAGAAAGGTGCAGTCATTTGCGTAAGGTCGCACAGCGAGTCAGCGGCAGAGATGGGACTAGAACCCAGGTATTCTGAGCATCAGTCCAATGTGTTTTCCACTAGATGGCACCGCCTCTCTAACATGTTTTGATAAGTTCAGGCAATATCTTGGTGTGTTTGCACTGTTGGGGCTAGATCCACAGACTTAGGCTCAGCCTTGCAGTGCCTGCCGTTTAGGCCACCTGCCACCCGGCGGAATTCACTGCCCTGAGTTAGGTGCCCAGGCTCCCTATGCAATGCACGGGGAGAGTTTGGCACCTAAGACACGGGTCTTCAAAAGCCAAGCTGAGCAGGAGCCACGTAAGACAGCTATTAGGACATGGTGAGGCGAGGGGTGCGGCCTAAGAATCGCTGTGCAGAGGGAGTTAGGGGATTAGCTCTTGGCTGGAGGCAGGCACCTGTCTCCACTTCTGATTCAGAGCTGTGAACCTACTCCTGCAGGTAGGCACCTAAGCCAGGCCAGCCCAGTCTCACAAAAAAACACCGGTGGTGGCAATTGCCTTATGTGCTATAGTGCAGTGGTTGGAGCACTCACCCAGGCTGTGGGAGAGCTGGGATCAAATCCCCGCCCTCTGCTGGATGTGGAGCAGGGACTTGAACCCAGGCCTGCACTTTCCATGTGAATGCTCTACCACAGGGCTACAGCATATTCTGGCGTGGTCCTCCCTCTCTTCTGCGGGAGCTGTTCCACTTGGTAGGGAAGACTTTCAGCAGTCATCGGGTCAGAGAGAGTGAGAACAACTCGGCAGCACAGCAGTTCGGGCAGGCACCGTAGAGACCGAGTTCCAATCCCTGCTCCGATAACTATTTAAAACACTTCACACAAAGCGGTACAGCTTCAACCAAAGAGACTTACCCCAGCGTACCCTACACCCCAGTGGGTAGGGCACTCGCCTGGGAGGTTCCAGGCAGATTGAGGATTTGAACGCAGACTGCAGGGTCACAACTGCTGCCATGTTTTGTGGGGGGCTTGATTTGGCAGGTATGCTGAGAGGCTGCCTGTGAGCACATCAACAGGATTGGCCCCACAGGTGAAGCAGAGGGGGGAATGCCTACTTTGAAAATCCCACCGGGGCCCACCAGCTCAGCTGCATCACAATATAGATGACTGTGTGCATACTCACTGGCAGAAATGTAGGCACCTAGGGCACTTCCCTGGTGGAAACTTAGTTGTCTAAAGGGTTAGGTGGCAGCTGAGCAGGGTTTAGGAGGATTTAACTTTTGAATGTAGGAGCCTGCAGTGGCAGTTTGATGCCTAAATTTCTTTGTGGATCTAGCCCTTGATCTTTTTATTTCTTAAAATTTAATAAAGAACTTAAAAAAATCAAATTACAGCTGTGCAAAATGTTCCGAATGGAGCCTGCAGCCATGGGAAAATGCCTGGGTTTCATCACCCGCCCCAAACTCATACCAGGCTTGTCAGAAGTTTTGCAAAACTTAATTGGCCTTTTTCACCAGCCTGGGCCCAGTTTTGATCAAACTTGGGTGATTTACGGTTTTGCACTGAAAACTATGTGGGTTTTGCATTAACACTCCATTTAGACACAAAGCCAAGTCCGATGTGGCAGCTATGATTGAGTGTTGCTTTAAAGTGGGAAGGATATAAACCCAAGTGGATTTAGACCAAAGAAACAGTTTGCATGGACCCGTGAAGAGTAAAATTGCCCAGTTTCACATGCCAGGTAACTCAGGTCATCCCTCTAGGAATTACCATCACCACCACAACCACCCACAGTAAAAACAACTGCAAAGGGCGTAAGAATACTGCAAATGGCTGTGGTTTGCCTCGCTGACATATTCCTTCGCCTCATGAAACTACACATCCTTAACCCAAAGCCACCATTAGGATTAAAGCTCTACTGCTAACATGGCCAGATGTTATGTACATCCATAAACTGCCCAACTGGCTTAATGTGCAGACAGAAGACTAAAAACAAAATGGAACTTTGTCAGAAATTTAAATGTTACTGGAGCAGCAAAGGAGTCAGTGTGACCTTTCACTTAGTCCTCTGAGACCACAGTAGACCCAGTTGACTCAACAAACAGCCTGTTCCAAGAGAAGCGGGTTTGGATCAGAAATCAACATCCTTTTTTGCCCTCACCAATGCCATAGCCTTCTTCACACTTGTACTCCACTAAATTCAGCTCTGGAGGTGGAGGACAATTGCCTTGCAGGTTCTCACACAATTTAAACTCCTCTGTCCATAAGCCCTCTTTAGTACAAAGGATAGGAACCTAGAAAAGCAAAGAGAGGAATCCACATTACTGCACTGTACAGCCAGTACAAGAGGCTCTACAATGGCTTTTGTGTCTATTCCCCTTGTCCTAGCCACACGTAGTTATACCAGAAAGAATAACCTGCCTCCCACTGGAGCCCATTTAAATCATGTTATCCTTTTCCCCACTAACATCAATTTCACAAAATGAAGTTTAGGAGGACCCTTCTCTCACTGAAATCAAAGGCAAAATTCTCCATCGACTACAGTGAGAGCAGGATGCAGCCTTTTATAAGTTATGCCAAAATGGGGGAATCCAATCTATGATGGCCAGTACCAAACGCTTATGAAGCAAACTGTTCCACATTGCAATTTGATCCCATCACAGGAAATTCACCACATGTATTTCGATGAGACACTTGCAATAGTCCTTCTGCAAATTGCCCCAGCAGCAATTAACCTTTCATTTAAAAACAAGCAGAATTGTTGACAGTACAAATTATTTTCTTCCATGAGTATTACAAGAGTGCGTGACAGTTGCTGGCTGGGCTGGCCCTTTTGGGAGAGTGAGCTTAGCTCCACTTGGGACCCATTAGCTGCCTCCCAGGGGCTGGGTTTTATTGGTCCTCACAGTAACGCAGCCAGAGGTTATGGGCCTATTGCAGGAGTGGGTGGGTGAGATTGTGTGACCTGTGATGTGCAGGAGGTCAGTCTAGAGGATCACGATGGTCCCTTTGGTTCCCAAAGTCTACAAGAGCCCAGGAAAACCATTGCATCACAAAGGCATTGACAACAGACCTGAGATTTCCTACAACTGGATGGGAGAGAAAGGAATCCCAGGCCAGGTGCTTACAATCTAACCCAAATATACCAAAATAAACAGATCTGCAGAGCAGCTGCCAATGCTACATCTGCATTCTGCTGTCACAAAGTTGGCTGGCCCTCCAAGGGGAGCTGGCCTCAGTGCCACCTGAGCTGAGTAATTCATCTCCCAGGGATGGCTTTGAGGCCAGGGATGAGGTGATAGCAGGTTACCTGGCCCACAGATCAAGGGTCAGTAAGCAGCTCAGTACTTCTGTTCCTTCATGAGCATTCGAGCGAGTAAATTTTCATTTGCAAGAACATGGGCAGAGAGCATTGCAAATACCAGTGCAAAGAAACATTTATGGGGCTCTGCCATGGAAATGCATTCACACCCATTTTGAAAGGCTCTCCATTAGTTGGATGCCAGATTCAAACAAACAATTCTGAATGTCCACAGACAACGTTGGCTCCTCTTGTTTATTGAGGGCTTGTCTACACAGCGAGTTAGCACATGGCAAGCTAGAGTGTGGATCTACAGTGCACTAGCTTGCCGCACACTGACTCGCCGTGTGGACCCTGCTACAGTGCACAAAAAGTTCTATACAGTGCTCTGAAGTGTAGACCAACGTCTAGGTCACCCAATTAAGGGACACACCAGTGCCACGTGAGTTAGGGAGACAGTCTTTGGGCACCAACAACAGCTAGGAAATGCTCACCATGACCAGTGTGCATATAAATATAGGAGAAAAATTCTTTGCAAAATTATTTGTTGAACAACTGTAAATGACAAACTAACCTTTAAAATAAATTACAATGGCTTTGCAGATATTTTGTGAACAGAAGACAGGCCTACATTTGTTAAATACCTGTTGGGTTGAATTATTTTATCCTGAATAATTCAAGCAGCTTGCAGGTCTTGTTGCCCAGGGCTGGGTAATGCATGGGGCTCAGTTTGGAACGGAACAAAATTAGGACACAGACTTGTCTCCCACTCTCCTAAATCAGGAGCCAAGGTGCCCATTTTAGCATTCTTAACTCTCATCTGGCCCCTATGGTTTGTGTGCATGCGTGTGCACAAAATAAAGCAGCGTAGCAAGACGACTGAGGTGTGGATCCTATAGCTATTGTGCTAAACAGCTCGATAAGTCATGAAATATTGCTCACTTTCAGCTTTGCTGTTGGTTTGTATATTAGTTCATGTCCCCCTTTTACAGGAGATGGATTGGGTCAGTTGCAGAGCATTGTGATAGATGCTGGTTTCTGATGCAGGCACCAGCATCTGTCCCAGGTAGGCCAGGAAATCTAGGCCAGTTTCTGCTCTAAATCCTAGGAGTTGCCTTGATGTCCATTCAGGCCAAACACAGAAATCCAAACTTCATTTCAGCAAAGCCCTTAAGCATGTGCTTAATTTTAAGCACATGCTTAAGTCCCCTTCAAACTTCAGTACTTTGCTGAATCAGGGCCTGTTTCCAGTTCTCCTTTACTTTGGCCCCAGTTGTTCACTAAACACACATACTTAACTTTAACATATGAGAGTTGCACACGGCTAAGTGTTCACATGATTAAGGCCCTCATTTCTACTGAACTGACAGAGAAAAATTCCTCTATCCACCTGCAAGACTCCAGTGTAAATGTCTCTGGCAGGCTCCCAAGGAAATCCCATCCTAGATGCTGATTGCAGCAAGTACACCACGGATCTGCAGTTCAGCAAATAAATTCAGAACCAGGGCACGGAATATCCTTTGCAATGCATGTCATTAGCTAGCCACGCTGCTTTCAGGCCAGCTCAAAGCCATACCCAAACAAGGTCGCCAGGGTGTCCTCCAGCAGGCTTGCTGTGCTCTTGCATTCCCCCTTAAAGAAGTCATTCTTACCCTTTTGCTCTGCGGGTTGCAGCGGAGCACACATTGGGTGTCCAGCTCAAAGCCATGGGTACAGTTGTACATCCCCTCAAAGACAGGAGGGGGCGGCTCGCACAGCACTGGGACGCAGCTGCCTTCCTCCCAGACTCCACTTTCCAGGCAGTGGATCTTCAATAACTTTCTGGAGAACACACGCACAAGACAGTTACTGTACCACACACCCAAAGGGCAATCCCAAAGCTGCAAATGCTCACCTACGAAAGAGGGCGCTGTTAGTTCTGTGGCTTCAGCTTACGCCTTTTCCCCTAGACTAAAGGAAGTTCACATTAAGCTCCTGGCTGGAACTATGTTCAAGCCCACAACATCCGCTGATCAACTGCGGTGGGAGCCAGGAGAAGGGAAATGGGGGGGGAGTGGAGAAGAGAGCAACAATACCCCCTGCAAGCAAATCTGAGTGGATGTTTGGCAGCTTGTGTTATTAGGATTGCCAATAATAATCAATATTGAACAACATATAGTTCTGCAAATAGAGCTGCCTTCTCTGAGCATAATATCAGAGAAACGACATTAAGGCCTCCATTCAGCAAAGCACTGAAACCTCTGCTTGAGGCCCAGGGTTTAAGCATGTGCTGAAAATTAAGCACATGCTTAGGTGATTTGCTGGATCAGGCTCTGACCCATTTAGGCCCCACTTCCACAACACACTTAATCACATGCTTAAATCCATCCCTGTTCAGCAAAACTCTTACCTTTCAGCATGTGCTGAACTCTCCTTGATTTCAGCATGAGTTTGCTGTGTTGCTTAATCAGGGCCTTAATTATCCAGGCCTTTCCCTATGTAGCACTGCTTCCTACAGCACATTTCCTAGTGCTTTGCCCAGTACAGGTTTAAATGTCCAAAGTCGTGGTGCTTCCTTTACTTAAATTGGGAGATTACCTCAATCTAACAGATCTCACTATCAGGAAACTTTTCCCTCTCTAGCTGAAATTTTCCATTCCTCAATTTCATCCCCTGGCTCCCTCCCAGCTCTTTCCCCTTGTGCCACCCTAACAATTCTTCTCCATCCATGCTGCTCAAACCCTTCTGATACGTGTACTCCATCTCTGTGCCCTATCCCGTAGCCAAGCGATATATACTTGGCTCATTCAAATGTACCTCATCAGTAAATCCCTCTGGCCTCTTTATCATTTTTGTGGCTCTCCTCTGTACTCCGTCCAATTTGTAAATATCTTTCTGGTATAGGAATTGCCATACCAGAACTGACCCATATCTGCTTGTATTGCTAAAACAATATAACATTTAAATCCTTGCCAAAAAAATAATGAAAAAGAAAAATGTACAAAACAACAGTCCATTTACTCAAGTATTCTATTGCTGGCAACCATCTACATACCACATACTTCAGAGGAAGGCATAAAAACCCCACGATGCACTGGGACAACTGAGCAGTACTCGTATAATGGGGGAGAAAAGTCTTTGTGACTCCAGCCACGAATGAGTTTACACCCCTTGATGCATTAGGACTGGTAGCTCTGGTGAGTTTTACCCTAACTAATATAATTGCAGACAGGATCCTTATTAAATTCAATGTTTACTTATTCTTGGCTGACCCTGCTCTAGAATCTTTTGACCGCTTGTAAGTCTCCCAGATTTTTGACTCCTTTGCTGTTGGACTTTTCTATAAGTTTAATGATGATTTTCATTGTCCAGGACCGATCCCTCACTTTTTTCTTCTCCGCCCCTCATCTCCAGCAGACACAGTCCTAGGAGGCAGCAGCTAAAAGTTTCTAGGACACAACAGGTAGCCAGCCAGCCAGTTTTAATTTCCTTGCACATCTCTGAGTGTGATTATCGGATCTGAAAAGCAGGGGAGCCATTGTGTGCTGCAGAAATAGGGGCAGGAGACAAAAGGTTGAATCAGCACCTTACAATCCAGCTCAAATAAGGGGCAGCGCATAGCTGCTTTCCATCAGTTGTGGGGCAGGGACTGAATTGTGTCTCTGAGGCCTTGTCTACACTAGGAAGTTTTACTGGCAAAACTCTTGCCACTGACATACCTATTTCAGCAGGGTGCATTCCTATTTGGCTGCCCTCACCAGCGCAGTGTGTCCTCATGGCATCAGGTTGCACTGGCAAAAGGTGATGCTAGGTTTTATATCAGCAAAAGAGCTAGAGGAGAGTCAGTATGGCCATTCTGCATGCCTCTTGCATAATGCTTCATGTAGCATGACCTTACAGCTACAATTTAGCCCTGTGTTCCTACTATAGCATTTCAGCAGGTGGCAGTGTCTGGTGAGGGAGCTAAAAGTGGGTTAGACTATAAATAAATCCTGTGAGATAAGGCTATGAGGAGGCTTCGTAAACCGGGCCTCAATCATTCAGCAATGTCCTTTAAACAAGAAGCATCCCTTTGGGCTTGGACAGTGACGTGCAAACACTCACTAGACAAACACCTGGGAATAACTGATTCAGCCACTATATGTCACTGTTGCTCTTCAAAAATGCATCCAAGGGCCTTTCAGCAGAAGCAAGGTAACTCCACAAGGAGACAGCCGGCAGTCTTGTCAATATGGTGAGTTACTGCTCAGCAACCTAAGGTGTGACTCTGCAGTGCTGCAGAGTCACACTCTGGCTTACGGTGCAGTAATTCACCACGTAGACAAGCCCTTAGTATCAAAAGGGCTGGGAGCCTGCGACATGCCTAAGGAATGTGGGATTTGCACAGGTGCCCTGTGTGGTGAGTGAGATCCTTACTCGTCACTCGCCTTTTCGCTTTGATGTGGTGCTGGAATTAACACACTGGGGCTTCCAGCTGCCTGCCAGTCTGCCCAAGCCATACACGGCAAACTCACCCTTTGTCAGACGAAACCGGGAGAGGGAATGGAGCTGGTTGCAAACACTGCAGCTCTCTGCCCGCTGGATATGAACTCCATCCACCACAGATTACTAAAGCAGGGGCTTATCAGGAGCATGCCGACTTTCCTCATAAGCAGTGGAATATTCCAGAGATAGGAAAGAGTTTGGCATCGGATGCACCCCACCCCACCACACCCGCTGTCCAATGTGAAAAAGGCACATCCTATGAATCCTAAACAATAACTATATTTTCAGGGACCTGTCCAAGGCAAATTTCTCATTTCAGGCTACTTCCCAATAGGGTTGACCTTCCCTGACAGATAGGAGGTGGCAGCTACACCAGTGCTGACGCTGCTGACCCACAAATGCTAAGCAGCCTCTTTCCAGAGACGTGCTGAGAGGGTGGGGGAAAGACTTAAAACCTGTAGCCCTAAACTTTGCTGTGCAAGAAAAACACCTTGACTCCTTCTGATCTCAGAGAGTGACATTTACTTAGGCTTAGCTGGGGAACTAAAAGCCCAAGGAAAATAAAATCAAAAATCAAGTGTTTCAAGCAGATGTTTAATGGGCAGAAGGTGAAGGCCTCAGGGAAGATTTATGAGGCCTGCAGGAGCTGCGTTTGATGTGAAAGGCATGAATGTCGGTCTCTAAAGCTCCACGAACCATGCAGCGGGGAGCTTGGCTAGCGCTCAGATGTGTATTAGAGTGGCCAGGACTTGGAGCAGAGGATCCACTGCACCGAGGCCAAGAGGGACTGCTGTAAATCAGCTGAAAGCTCACATTATCTGCCAATGGCAGGAGATTTGAGGATTCCAAGTCTAGAAGGAGAGGGGGGGTTGCTTATTGGTAAACTAGAAGACAGAAAAGCTGGGTCACTGGATTTCTGCCTCTTTCCCCTTGTAATGGTAGAGGGACCAAAAAAACCCCACAACCACCCAGCCCCAAGCTAATGGGGTGTAAATCTTTATTGGTGCTATTAGAGATGTAAATACATGGGAGTCTGTCAGCCTATATTTTCTTTCCCCTGCTTTATGGCAGGACATTTGTATTTTATCTGGGATGGTGAATCTATGGCTTAAGAGCTAAAGCCCATGCTCATACCCAGCTAATGTAAGATGGCCCTGTGCCCTGGTGTACTCGGATGGCTCTTGGACTAGTCTGTTCTTGTTTGCCCAATGTGGCCTTTCTGAAGTGCTTCCAGCCTCTATCCTGCTAACTTTCCATTTTATTTTCCCCGCATCCACCTTTCTTCCCCTTTCATGGTCTGCTTCAGTGCCCTGTAGTATTTGGACAACGCAGGGAGCTGGAGACATCAGATGTCCCACTTGAAGGGGTGCAGTTCATCTTTTCCTGGGCCATCTCAGGGCTGCGTTGAATTTAGTCAAGGGGTGAGATGCGAATCATTCTTTGGCCGGTGTCTCAAACGCTCACCCACTCATCGGCAGCTCAGCTGCTCTGGCATCTCATATCTACCCTACTGGAGAGCGAGGGGACGGCTCCAGTGTCAGCCCCTGTGGTGGATGGAAGCAACAGAGACTGGAGACAGGCAGGGGCTGAAAGGAATGTAGGCTGAGGCTGTCTAAGGCACCTAGAGGATTTGGAAGTTTGGTTCCCATTAGTTTTATTCCCTTAGGAAGCTTTGCAAATCCCATCCCGAGTGAATACACCTTCCTTCACGCTGTCCTTGAAATCAGCCAGTGGAATGAATTCCTGTGCAGCAGAGGATTCACTGATCACAGAAATCACACAGGGTTCTGGCCCTTCCATTCCAAAACACACAGGCCATTGAAGTACCAATGTCGTTGAGGGGCCTGGCTGGCCCACAGAAACCATTTTCAAGGGTGACCCAACCAAATTACGAGGATTCCCAAGTGGGCCTCATCCAGATGGGACATAATGAGACCCATCTCCCCCATCCAACCATCACAATCTCAAGAGATATTATCCCCCAGCCCGGCCCCTTCTGATTATTGCAGCCTTCAATTCAGTGCCCTCCAAGGAACCCCTTCTCCTCCCCTTCCCACCTCCCCTGAAAAAGGCCTTCTCCACATGAAGGCCGTTTCCTACAAATTTCCCTACTGTTGCTAACGCTGGTATGGCTAAACCACTGTCAGCACAAGCGCGAGCACTAGCGATGGCTCCCACAGCCACTGCGGTTTGTAACCCCTTGTCCGTCAGACTCGTCAGAGGGCACAGTGGTGGAGGCCTGTCTATGCGAGAGCTCCCCATGTGGCTGACTGCTGGCCAGTGGCACCAGTGTTGCCAACAGCTGGAAATCGTTAGGTTTCCCCGAGTGCAGATGCAGACAAAAGCTCAAGATGCTTCTAACCTCCCCTCTCACAATCCTCAGTCACACCATTCCAGTGTCCCTTGCAACCAAATGGTAGCAATCGCTGCACAGACCTTTAACTGTACACTCACAATCTCCTAAGGGATTCCTTGTCCTTAAACATCTCAAAAGAAGTGTCTATCTACTTGGAGCAACTCTTGAACAGCCTTTTCTATCAGACAAAGAATTTCCTTGTACATCCTGCCCCTCCACCAAGGGAATGGGAAAGGTCTTTAAGGTCATTGGGGCTCTCAACTCTTCCTTATTAGAGCAGAAACCTTCAAAAGTTGGGAAGTTCAGAATGAGCATTGACAGCTCAGCCTAGATTCCCCATGTGCTGTATGTAGCAATCCAATCATTGTTACCTAATTGCATTCCACCTTTATGTAATCAGCCATGGCAGTGTTTGTTAGGGAATTAGAGGGCATCTAATCAGGAGATGAGGAGGCAGAATTTGTGTACATATTTCAAAACAAATCTTTGTGTAATTGCTTTCCCACTGGTAAAAATCAATTAAAACCAAACAAAGCAGAGGGAATTCTGGCCCAGCTGGAATGAAAGCCCCAGAATGTTCAATCTGAGGGAATGACTACGCAGTGACAATCAGGTGAATGGCACTGCGGCTGGGGGGGAGTAGGAGGCAGCATCCCACACATCTGGCAATGTGCAAGGATATGGATAGCTTCTGAAGCCACCCAAATAACGTAGGCCTGAGAGTTTGACATGTGCAGCAGTGGTCTTGCATCTGCTTAGGAAGGACTGGGAAAAAAGGAGCAGAAAGGAGGAAGGCTGGCCTTGTAGTTAAGATACTGGACTGGGACTGAGTATATCAGATCATTTCCTAGCTTGGCCACAGACTCCCTGTATGACCTTGGATAAGTTGCTTCAGGCCGGTTTTTTAAAGGTATTTAGGTGCCTAAAGAGGCAGATAGGTGCCTAGTGAGATTTTCAAAAGCATCTAGGCACCAAAATACCTTTAAAAACCTAGCACTTCCTCTCTCCGTCTGGCTTTCCCACAGGGAAAAGGAGGGTAAATGATCCTGCCTTCCTCCATCTTTTGTCTACTTGCATGATCCCCTCTTTGGGGCAGGGACTGTTTCTTAATGTGTCCATAGAGGGTCTAGCACAACAGGGGCCCTGATCCTCACTGGGGGCCTAGGAGCTACTGTCAGTCATAATCCATTTAACTAGCAGGGCAAAAAATGGATTAGAGAGGAAAAGTCTAACAAAAGCATCACTGCAGAAATATACCATCTAAAAAGCATCTATTTGCACAAGCTGAGCTGTGGGGGGAAAGTGGGTTCTCATCCTTACATAACACAGGGTTCCTGATAGCTAAAGCAACATGCTTTATTTTAAATGACTCACCCTGGGGAAAAAAAATAACTCCGGGCCTCACTAAGATCACTGTGCATCACTAGAACAGCTGGCAGAGAGTCGCCTACAGGGCGTGTTACACCAAGTCCTCCAGAGATAAGGGGGCAGTGTCGGAGTGCAATGCGCTGTGCTCATCTCCGGTCAGCAGAACTAACCAAACCCGTGGCTTCTCTAACTTGCGCTGGGGTTCAGCCCCTGGCTGCCCAGTTTTGTGAACCCAAAGAGAGCTTGATAGATTTGCAAAAACCTTCAACTGCCCATAGTCTGTCCAGGTGCAATGAAGGGAAAGCCCCTTAACAGCTCAGTCAGTGCATTTGCCAGATTTGACAGGCTGGAGAGTGCATGGAAAAATAAAGTCTGCACAGTTTATATTGGGTATGTAAGTTACTGTGTCCCACTGATTCCAAATGCTTTATAAGCATAACTAACTAATCAGTAAACTCTTAAGTAAACATGTGTAAACCAAGATTTAATCACACATCAACAGTTACTCATCCAAGGAATGACTCCCACTGAGCTCTATGGGCTTTGGATCAGGCTCTCACTGTATTTGTTAACGCAGATGTTAATCAGAGACCATCTTCTTCTTCTGGGTTTGTACAGTGCCCAGCACAAAGAGGTGCTGGGCCAGGACTTGGGCTCCTACATGCTATAGCAATGCACACAAATACTCAGACTACAACCCTGAAATTCACTCTAGTTTACACAATTTTAATTGCTGAGAAAGCCTTGATTTGCAATGTCGTTTCAGTCCTATGCACCTATCATTATGCATGACAATAATGACTGTACTTCTGTCTGGCTCAGTCCCAGGAACCTTAACAGTACTTGACAAAGATGTGTGCAGTAATCACTTTATCCATTACGGGGCAGGGGGAAATATGGACAACCATTTCACAGCGCACAGCAGCACTACACCAGGGAGAGCCAGGGAAGAAGAAAATTGCATCCAATTAAAGCTGAAAGGGGAGATTAAATAATCCAAAGGTAATAACTTGATTTGGAATTGAGCCAAGCCCCTGGGGGGTGCACAAACACTGGCTCGGAATCTCTAATGACCATAACCAGCCAGACCTCAGTGGGTCTCACCCCAAAAGACACTGCAGCACCCTCTAGCACAATGGGAGGGTATTGGCTCGGTACAGAGATCAGTGCCCCCGTCTCACCAGGACCATCTCCGACAGAGGAGAAAGCATTTTCCAACTGCAATGTAATTACCTGATTGAAATTTTGCCAGGACACTTGGGTTAACATCTCTGTCCCCACAGAAAATCACCACAAGCTCTTTCATGCCCACGAGCAGTAAAGACATAGGTTTAATCCCTCATTTCAAAGACAGCTACTCCAGCAGCACAGTGCGCTCATGGTGGACCATCAGCTAATTACCGCCTAAGGTCCTGATTCTGCCTCACTCAGAGATGTTTAACTTTAAGCCAGTTAAGAGCCCCCCTGAAGTCACTGAGATGGCTCACATGCTTACAGGTAAGCACTTGCCTAAGAGAGAAGAGAGACAAGCACCATCTGTGGAACCACCACTAGTACTTCTGGGAAAACCTTAGTTTTTCTTTGAGGTCTCTTGCCGAGTACAGAGCCAGTACACCCCTGCTTAGTCTGTAAGACTGGACGGCAGGACTGCAATTCATGTGCGCACACGAGGACAATGGAGATTTACATCTTGTTCCCATCAGTTTCCCCACAAACAGGTAAACTTGATTTTTGTGCAGTGACGTGTGTGAACACTAGAAAATGGCGATGAATTGTTCACACATAGGCAACCAAGCTAACTTGTAAAGCCAGCGTGCAAACATCTTTCTGTCCCAAGGGACTCTACTACAGTAAGCAATAGAGGAGAAGATTAAAGGAACATGGAAAAAACTTCTGAAACAGAAGCGCTTCAGACTTACTTTCTGGGTTTGCGCTCCATGCCGTCCGCCACGTGGTATCCAGGTTTACACTTATAACGGCAGACAGAACCCACGTCGTGGTTCCCTTGCAGGCACCGGGGCACCAACAGCTTGGCATTGGCGACCACGTGAGGTGCATCACATTCCAGTTTGCAATAAGCTTCTGGGAGTGACCAGAGCCCATCCTCCAGGCAGGTCAGCCATTGACTCAGTCCTGACTCCATGAGAGAGAAGCAGAGCATGCTCAGAACACAGGATAATTCTAGCAGGACTCCCTGAAGCAGACACAACCCTGTGGGCATGGAAACCAGCAAGAGCTGCTCTTATACAGTCAGATGTCATTGCCAATGAAGTCAATGGAAAGAAACTCATTGACTTCACTTGACATTAGGCCCTTACTGAAACTGACCATCTGAGCGCAGTGGGAAGTCAATGGAACAACTCCTAGGGGAGGAGGGACACCTCTCTATAAAGGAATTTGACAAGCTCTTTAAACTTCCTTCACGTCCGCCTTAAAACTCCCCTCTGCTGTGATGCCTGTGGAAAACTCCGCAATGGCTGGATAGCTGATTTATCATGCCAGTCACAATCACCTTGTTTCCTCATGCGTTCCCCTGTCTGTTTGTTGTAGCCACCTGTTGTAACTTGTCTTAAACTGGCAGCTCTGCGGGAGAGGGGCCATCAATTTGTTACAGAGCCTCATGCAATGGAGCCTTGATCGCTAACTGGGGCCCCTAAGTGCTATGCAATTAATACATCAATAATAATAATAACAACAACAAAAACAATAACTATAGTAATAGTAATAATTAAATGCTATTGTTTTCCTTAGGGGTGTGTCAGTGCTTAGCTGTCACCACAACTGGTACCTCAGAAACGCCTAAGATAAATGAATAGGAACAGTCAGACAAGCAATGGGAAATATAGCACCGTCTTCCAACACATGTCTACACCCTCATCTGTGGTTCCTGTGCTGGACAAAATGGAGTCCACCCAGCCTGGAGAATTGAGCAGAAGTCTGTTCTGTCTGGCATGGCATTCCCATCACTCTTAGCTAAGCTTAAGATGCTGTGTTGGCAGCCCCTCCAATGCATGACGGTGTTCCCGGAGGGCCAGCGTCCCAAGGCGCTAGTCATAAGGTTTCTCCTTCCTTTGGATCTCCTGCAAGGTAGTGCCCAGGACTGATGCCACACAGATCATATAATCTATCTTTAGTATTTATTATTATTGATCTAATGCCCACCAGGATGCAAGGCACTTCAATGAGACCATGAAGCCAGCAGGTCCCTGTCTTAATAGCTTACAATTTAAGTTTACAATCCAGTGCTTAGTTCAGTTGATGGGACTCTCTGATTTTATCCACTGGGCAGGCATTGTTTCAGCCACTGGACAAGACCATGGCATTCTATAGATGGCCCTGCTCCTCTTCCACTGAAGCTGAAGCAAGCCTTCTGCTGACTTCAATGGGAGCAAGAGCAGGTGGAATGAAAACAGACATCTGGATGCACTAGGAGGTTCAATCCTGCCCTCCTTTGCAGCTGAGCAGCCCCACTGAAGGCAACGGTGTCGTGTAGGTCAAAATTTGGCCTGTTGACTATAGGCATTCTTACACGCTGCACTGCTCAGTTCATGCTGGGATCTGCAGACATGCTCACTGTCAGGAAAATCAGATTCATTGACTGTGGTTTGTACCTTCGACAAAAAGAGGAACAATTTTCCTACATTTCAGCTATAAATGTCTCGCTAAATAGGACACCCATTAAAATGATTTATTGTAGGTGATATTAGAGTGCATAAGCTAGTGGAAACTCACACAAAGCCCCAGTGCTTGGAACTGTCAGGACAATAACCCCCAAATCCCATCCATCTCCGTGCTGTAGAGACAGTAACAGCAGCTCTCTTTTCTTACCTTGGCTTCAAACCACAAATTAGGGATTGAGGGATGTGGTGGGCAGGAAGCAACATATGGAGTTATAATGCCATAGGCTGCAGTAGGGGCCTCTGTGGCTACAAAAGGCCCTGTGCTTCCAGGAGTCTAGTACCACATACATACACATGCCCCTCAGCCAATGTGCCATTCTTTGATTCCCCATCCGACTGTCCCCAGCAAAGCCCTCCCCCGATCCCGATTTGGCCAGCTGCGCTTCTGCTCCACTCCTGGCTTCCCAGATCTATGTAAAGGAGCTAACAGAGGCTGCACAAGCAGATGGGAGGGGACATTCCCATGGCTTGAAGTGGCAGGCAGCAAGTGGCCATGGAGGTTGCCATTAGTACTTGGGGGGAAGGAGATGGATAAAGCACATCTTCCCAGGCGGCCTCAGAAGACCTAAAGCCTGCTTGGCCGGCACAGTCAGAACAACACTGGTAGGGATGGAGAGGCAAAGCTCAGCTCTGAATGGGACAAGGATGGACGCTTGTGGCATCCCGTACCTTGAAGCTTAGCTGGCTTGATGCAGGCAAAGGAGCAGCGCTCCAGGAACGTGGTCCCGGTGGGGCAGGAGAACTCAGCATAGTACACATGTGACTGGTCAGGAACTCCGCAGTTCACGGGGTTGCAGGTCACGGATCTGTCCCACCTCCCGGAGTTGCATGTCAGCAGAAACTCTTTCTGAGAAGAAAACATGCCTGCTTCTGATTTTTATGAATGAGTTGTAGTCTAAAGGAAGGTCTACATGGCACAGACCTTATGGTGGCACATAGCGTACATACTCTGCATGCTCCCACAGCATGGGTATAAAAACCAGTGAGGCACAGCTTCAGGGAGGAGAGTAAAGACAAGCCTGAACCTTATCAGTATGTACCCTACATGGCTCTACACACCCGTCTACACTGCTGTTTTTAGCAGTCTAATGTCCCTTTGCCTCCCCCCTGCAGGGAAAAATTCCAGCAGCTCCCCACAGCTGGAGCCTTTCACTGAAGTGTGTAGCTACACATTGCAGCATGGACGCAGCTTACTTGTCACTGCAGTGTGTAGCGACATGTACCCTACACACCGCAGCCAGTGGTGTGTGGCATAGGCTGGCCTAGGTTTCAAAGAATTGTAGTGTCTCTCCCCTCTTTCCTCCAGTGGGACACCATACTCAAACCGTCCCTTGTCCTGCACAAGGCATGTGCTCGGGTTGCCGTCTCCGGGAGCACAATGCATGTGTGGCCCCATGCTACACAGTGGGGCCTTTGCGGTAACATAAGGGTCATCTACATTAGAGATGTTTGCAATCAGTTAGTAGTGTGGTGGACTCCACAAAACACATGGTTAGCACACAGCTCCTAAGCCAGGCTGTAATATGTCAGAAAACATGACTTGGTCTTTTCTACGCTGCAAAATAGAGCCTTATTTTAACCATATCAGAGGACAGCTGTCTTCCAAGCGGGTCTTCCAAGCTTATTTTGCTATTCTGTATAGACCCACAGACACGTGGGAATTTGGATTACTGGATAACCAGGAAAACAAACATAGTTAAGAAATCCCCTTTACACAACAAAAGAACCATCTGAGGCTCTAGTTACTATCTGTCAATCACATTATAACCCTGATCCCGATCAGGTTCGAAATGTGGTACACCCATGTTGTGTGAGTAGTCAACCATGTTACAACCTGGCTGCAAACTCACTGAATAGCTGCAGAACAAACAGGCCCTTACGTATGTAGCCCAGTTCAGGGGCACCGTTAAATTGTGGCACCGCATGTGCACAATGCAAGATGGAGTCATATTTTAAACAATGTTTTTTCTATAGTGTAGAAATTGCAATGCAGTATCTATCACTGTGGTGGAGGACATCTGAAAGTGCATTGCACCAATTTTAAAGCCACCTATAATCCTTTGCCCCTTGCATGGGGAAGTGGGGCTGGATGGGATAGCCACTTGGATTTTCCCAGAATGCACTGAAATAAATCCAGTTGTGTGGCACATGGGTTACCCTCTAAAAATGTGTGCATGTGGTGAGCTGCATTAGCTATAACCATAACCCTGGCTACATGAAGAACGATTTCTTCTGCAGCGTAGACGAGGCCTACATGGAGCAGCACAGGACAGTGACACTTACCTGCCCAGCAGCATGGGAAATCACAACAGAAGCATTCCTAAAGCGTCACCATCCCACCAAATGCTCACCCAGTAATAATGGCTCTAGCACTGCAAAACTCACCACAGGCCACTTGCAACATCCCATCTGCTGGGTCACAGCCTCAAGCCCAGCCCTGCCCATACACTTCCCATTTGACTGCCAAATGTTAAGAACTCCCACCAGGCAGATTTATGTTGTGTGGCTTCATTTTAGAGGCAAAAGGAACATTTTGTTTCTCGAGAATGGACCAGTGTGCATTACGGAACCCGCTGTCCAATGACATCTGCCTTGACCCACCTAGGGATTAGCTGGAAGGCCATATAATTAATAGCATTTGAGGAGAGACAGGGGCCAAGCAGCCCATCTAGATTCATCCATCTGCCTGATTAATCTTCATACTCTAATAGTTCTCTAAGTGCCCATCTAACTACTACTGAAGGGATTCAGAGTCGCAGCCGTGTTAATCTCTAAGGTGCCACAAGTACTCCTTTTCTTTTTACAGATACAGACTAACAAATTTATTAGTGCATAAGCTTTCGTGAGCTACAGCTCATTTCATCGGCTGAAGCTGTAGCTCACGAAAGCTATGCACTAATAAATCTGTTAGTCTCTAAGGTGCCACAAGTCCTCCTTTTCCTTTTACTACTGAAGGGAAACACATTCACAGTTGCATTGTCCATTCCAGACATGAACTGATTCCAGCCTCAGGAAAACGTCTCCGAAACGCTTCTTATACCCACACCTATCTTCACCTCACTTCACTCTGTGTTCTCTTGTCCAGCGCCGGAGAGAGGAGTCACCTTGACAGACTCAAGTCCAGCAGTCCATACTTACTGGTACTGCAAATACAGTATGGATTGTGCCCAGCACCCTGCCAAAGGGACTCTACTTCAACCTGCAAGGATCATTTCTAGGGCAGTTCAATATCTAGGCCCTTCGGTCCTTGGTCTCCCAGCTAACAAGGGGGCTAGCAATAGTGGTGGTTTATAACACAGACCCTTGCCTGCTAGGAAATAGGCCAAACTCATGTCATGCAGACTAGAACCAGTGACCAACAGAGAAAGAAAGCCTCCGTATCCTATTATCTAGCTCCTCATCCAGATTCCTTCAAATGCATCTCCCTTAACCTACTTTTTTCTGATCAAAACACAAGCAAGTACCTTGCCCTTTAACAGTGACAACACTCTGGAGACACCTGTCATTCTAGTCTCTCCCTCCGGAACTGTCATGGGCTCATGTCATCTGTTCCTCTGGTATGCCACCCAGAGCACTCTCTCGGCCTTCGCCCAATGCCACAACCATCACCTCCGCTTGGCCTTCAGTTCCTCTCTGGATAATATGCTTGTCTAACAGATTGAATTTGCAAATGCTGTATGTAGCAATTTAATTCATTCATCAGGACTGGCCCTCTGGGGTGCAGAGAGCAGCATATTGCCATACACACTGCTCAACAGCCGCTTCCCTGCTAGTGCTGCTGGACAAGCAGGGGGATGTGGCATAGGATTGACCCACAGGTCGCCAGGATAAATTCAGAAGTGAGCTGAGGCGTGGGCGAGAGGGAATTTAGCTGGGCTGAATTCATCCCTGATGTACTTCCACTGACTTTAATGGAGTTCCGTCAGAGATGGCTTTGAGTCTAAGGGCTTGTCTACATGGGAACATCCAGGAAAATTAATCTGAATTAAGGAAAGGTGTGAATTTGAAGTGGATTAGTTAAAACTCACTAAACCCCTGTATAGACACTGTTAATCAGAATTAAAGTGATCTTAGTTTGGTTTAATTCACTTTGAAGACTGAGGCTACTTTAATTCTGAATTTTGGTGTTCTAATCCACTTCAAATTCACACCTTCTGTTAATTTGAATTAATCTTCCTGGATGTCCCTGTGCAGACAAGCCCTAAGAGAGAGCATGGGGGTGTAACTTGCCAGGTAAGGGGATTGCTGGAGGGAAATCCGCTAATAAGGAAGGTGTACATTCAGGTAGCTCCCCTCACAAACAGCTTTTAATGTACAACTTTGTTTATCCTTTTCCAACCCCTCATGCAAATGACACCAATTTAGATATGCTCTCACTCAGTTAGACTCCCTGATGCCCACATACTGATGTCAGATTTGCACGCTGTGATGAAGTGGGGAATTTTCATGATATTTTGTATGACTATTGTGTGTGCCTCCATTTCCCCTACGTGCTGCATGTTTAACAAGGAGGTAGGGAAAGGGTGTTTGCTCTTTGCAGAGACACAGAGATCCAGGTGTGACTAGCAGAACTTGCAGTAGGAAAGGCAGACCACAGGGGAGCAGCAGGGTAACAGTGGCTGCTTTCTTCCCTTCTGGTTCACCTCAGTCCCACATACATGAGATAGACTACTACCAGGGGAGAGGTGGGATGAAGGAGGCACATCTCTTCTGCATACCAGAAGAAATCAAATCAAGGGGTGATCCTGCACCCATGACAGATGTGCCCCCTTATTGAAAGTGTTCCTGTATTTGGAACCCAGAAGAGAGATCCCCAGGAAAACTTCTCTCCCCCCACAAGTATCTTTACACCCTGGGGGATATTTCTTCACTTCACAACAACATCCTTCAGTTTGGCTTGACTGGCAGCCCTGGTGCCAAACAGGCCCCAGACTGACAGAGCAGTAGGTGGCACAGGTCAGGACTGAGGTGCATTAGTAGGGCTGTGAGGGGCCCAGGTCTGGAACAGCAGTGTGCCACGCATTGGGACTGAAGGGCACTGGTCTTGCTGAGGGTGGTGGTCCTGTACTGGAATAGAGCAGGGGGTGCTGTGGGTCAGGACTGTGGTGCGCTGGCAGAGCTGGGGGTGCCCCAAGCAAGCTGGAGGGAGCTGAGTAGCAGCCTGTCCCAGCTAGCAGTCACTCAGTCAGATTGCGTGGTTATTTCCACCAGAGCTTGCAACCAACTCACCTCTCTGGGGTTCAGACCCTTCCCGCTGCTGGACTGGAGGACAAATCCATTCTCACAGGCAAGAGTGCATTTCATGTGTCCCAGGCCACCGGACGTGCAGTTCACCAAGGCATGGTCGAGCTGCAGTGGCATGCAGCTGCCCTGCTCCCCGCAGGTCCGGTGGGTGCAACTGTAGAGGAGACAAAGGTGGGAAAGGAGAATCAAAAGGCAGTTCCCCATGGTGGGGAATCCCAGGGCTTCTGCAGCAAGAGGAGCTCCTCCCTTGCGGCATCACAAGGGAATGCCCCATGTGCCAGCATCCTGCTTGGGATGGGTCAGCACAGGTGGTGTTCAGGGCTCCAATGTCCAGCCTAGGACAGTGCAGACAACACCATGGTTGGATTTGGGGTTCTCTCAGATTGGCAGGCTGCAAAGCTCAGCTCCTTCTACCCCCACCTCTTTGGTTTCCTGGACGGCAGATGGTTAACACAGGGAGTTTCCCTGCAGTCTAGTGCTGTATTAATTAATCTGCAGAGGTGGCAGAACCAGTAGAAGGATGGAGCGAAGGGGCTCAAACCACCCCATATCCAACAGCTTCGTATTTAGGCATGCACTCATGAGGGCTTGCTCTGGGGACAGAAGATGTGTTCTTCTGCCCAGGGGTTACTGGATCCCAGCATATTCCCCATTCCCCCGGCTCTGCCTCAATTTAATCTCCATCTGCTCCCAGCACACAAACTCCCACACACGAACAGTTAAGGCCCCAGTCCTATGCTTGGGCAAGAGGCAGTGCTGTCTAGTGGACAGAGCAGTACAGTGACAGCCAGCGGAACCTAAGTTCTGTTCCCAGCTCTTCCACTGACCTGCCATGTGCGTGACCCTGGACTCCTCACTTCACCCCTCTGTGCTTCTGTTTCCCCTCTCAGCCTTCACCTGTCTGATCTATTTGGGCTGTAAGCATTTAGAGGTGTGGACTTCCTCTCACCATGGGTGCAGCACCTGGTGCAATGGGGCCCTGATCTCAGTTTTATCCGCTAGGTGCAGTGTGAATCAGACCCTAGAAACCCGGGGGAACGGCATTTTAGTTAACGAGACTGCGCAGGCACCAGGATCAGCCCATGTGAATCCAATCGCAGGATCAGGGCCCAAATGGGCATGTTTTTCAAAGCCACATTTCCAGGACATTATGGAGCTGTACAAACACATAATAAGAGCCAGTCTAGCAAGAGCAGGCTTTGACTGCAAAAGGTAAAAATGGCCACAAAAAAACCCCCACATGACAATGACAATTTAAAAAGATCAAAGGTTCCTTTTTCAGGAAAAGGGATTGTTCCAATATTTCCCCTCCCTGAGACTATCCCTTTAAGAAATGCTGGGCCAGATCCTCAGCTGTTGTCAATCATTGTAGCTCCACTGACTTGAGTGATGAATTTATGCTACTTGAAGATTCACACCATTTTTCCCCCCTCAGCTCTTCATTAGAAAATAATAACACATCCTAAGGCACATCCTGAGAGGCGCTGAGCATCTTGCACTTCCATGGGAGCTGCAGGTGCTCGGCATCTCACAGGATCAGGACATAAAATGATGCTGCTTGGGGATCTGCTTCCCACATCTCTGCATCCCTAAGGGGACCCTGCTGGCCCCAGGAAATCAGAGCCCCCTGGAAACTCAGAAAAGCTGTGACAGCTGAGTGGGGATGTTCAAACAAGAGGCTTTGAGGTGACCCTATGAATTTTAAGGATCCCCAGCCCTGCCTGAAAGAATCCCAGTACAACCCATAGCCACAAGTGAACAGTGAGTTGCTCCATGGCACACAGCCCCCACACAAGGGACCTCCCCAGAGGTTTGGGTTTACTCTACAAACTGTAAGCTAAAGCTTCTCACCTCTAATGCAAGCCTGCATCTCTAAGCCATGTGTTAATGGTTGTCAGATGGAAATGGGGGCAGGGGCTAGGCTACCGGGCAAATCCCAAAGAAATCACTCATCATTTAGCTACACAAGTTAAAACAGTACAGTACTCATCTGCGCTCACACACAGTCTCCCACATACTCTCACACCTGCCCCTGAGCGACACAGTGCTCATCTGCACTCACACACGGTCTCATGCACACACACGCTGTCACACCTATCTCAGAGCGAGCGATACCTGCATTGGCGGAAGGAGATCTATATTTGGTATACACTGTGACAACTCTTGTATAGCTTGTCATGCTATTAAAGGCTTGTGAATTGAATTAAAACATTCAATCACATTCAGACACACAAACATATAGGAGTCTCTCGAGTCCCGAGCTATCCTGTAACCACTCGACCAGCCTTCCTCCCCTAGGGTCACTCTTGTGTGCGGGCACCCCCCAAAAAAACACACTCTCCCTATGGAGACCTCTACAAACCCAATACACATGTAGCCAGCTCCTGCAAAGGCTGCATCAGCAAAGCACTTAGCTGAGGGGTTTGCGTACTGGACAGTTATACACTGCAGCTAACTACATCCTGTATTGAACAGTGTGTGGAAGATCAGGCCAGGTCTACACTTACAATGCAGGTCAACATAGCTATGGAGCTCAGGCCTCAACACCCCTTGAGTGCTGGAGCTATGCTGACCTAACTCCTGGTGTAGACACAGCTAGGTTGGTGGAAGAATGTTTCTGTCATCCTAGCTACCATCACATAGGGAGGTGGTGTTCCTACAGTGACAGGAAAACCCCTTCTGTAGCTGTAGTCTGTGTCTACACTATGGGGTTACAGCAGCATAGTTCTGAAGCCATGGCTATGTCACTACAACATCTGTAGCATATACATGGCCTCAGACGCTCTCCTTTGTTCCTCTCAGCCCATCTTCCCTTCTCTGCGACTTCTCCTGTCCCTCTTCTCTCCCCACAGGGCCATCTTGATCTCTGCTTTGATTCAGCACCGCAGGCCTGGCAAGGAAACTGTCAAGTGTTGGTGTTAAAAAGGGAAATGTGCTACAAAATGTGGAGTAACTTTGTGTCAAGGATTTGGGCTTTACCTACTCTCAACAGGAGATGTCCTTGCTACCCATGAGCACCATCATGCATGCAGCCAGGAATTTAGTCTACTTATTATAGTAAAAGACGAGTAGGAGGAAGAATGGCTTTGTGATTATGGTGCTGGCCTGGTGCTCAGGGTTCACTCCTGGCTCTACCGTAGACTCCCTGTGTGATCTCAGGCAAGTTGTGCTCTCTCTGTGTCTCATTTCCTTAACCTTTCTCTCTCTCACACACACATCCTGTCTTCTCTATTTTGATTCTAAGCTCTTCAGGGCAGGGACCAGCTCTCATTGAGTGTCTGGACAGCACCCAGCTCAATGGGGCCTTGGTCTCTCAGCTGGAGTCTCGAAGTGCTACTGTACCACAAACAAAAATAATCACACCGCATTCTGTACAAAAGATATTCAGAGTTATCAGGGGAGAGTGGGGCAGCTTTCAAAGTGTGATTTACCCTCACATTGCTCCCTGTTTGTGAAGAGGGTTCACTTCCCCACCAAGGAAACACAGCCATTGCTTGGATAAAACACGGCTACTCTGTCACTGACCACAGCGATACTGCACAACTATCGAGTAAATGAAGAGGGAATGCTGGATCCATTTAAAATTGCAGAGGGAAATTAAATACACAGAATGTAATTACCTGGAATGGAATTTGGCCAAGACATTTGGGTTTATGCTCCGACTCTTACAAAAAAGTTCCAGGGGATATTTAGTGATTGCAAGTGCTCAAGACCTTGGTTTTATGGCTCCACCAAAAGGAAGTACCTCCAAGAGGCACAGCACCCTAAAGCTGCTGAGAGGGAAGAGCACTACCTAGTGCAGGGGTGGCCAACCTGAGCCTATGAAGGAGCCAGAATTTACCAATGTACATTTCCAAAGAGCCCAGTAATATGTCAGCAACCCCCCATCAGCTCCCCCACCCCGCTCCCAGCACCTCCCACCCACCGGCAGCCCCCCCCCCCCCCCCGATCAGTGCCTCCCCCTCTCTCCCCCCACCTCCCAATCAGCTGTTTCGTGGCATGCAGGAGGCTCTGGGGGCGGGGAGGGGGAGGAGCAAGGGCATAGCAGGCTCAGGGGAGGGGCAGGAAGGGGTGGAGTGGGGGCAGGGCCTGTGGCAGAGCCAGGGGTTGAGCAGTGAGCACCCCTGGCACATTGGAAAGTTAGCACCTGTAGCTACAGCCCTGGAGTTGGTGCCTATACAAGGAGCCACATATTAACTTCTGAAGAGCTGCAGGTGGCTCCGGAGCCAAGTGTTGGCCACCCCTGACCTAGTGAATCAGCCACACAGCTTCCTGTAACAGCTGGGGTCCCCTTCTGACCTCAAAGGTCTCCCATCCAAATCCCAAGCTGACCCAAGCCAGCTCACCTTGTGAGAGCTCACAGGCTGCTAGCACCAGGTGGTACAGCTGCAGGAACCATCTGTGTGGAAGGAACCCACTCAGCCACCACAGACAAATACTCATTGAGCGAAGTCACCAAAAAATGCTGCGGACTTATGTGGAGAATGAACAGAACTCATTGCCGACTCCAGCCACGTCCCATTAGCCAAAGTTGCCATGGAAATCCGCGCGGAACAGCTCATTCAGGGTTGGGGGCGGATGGAGGAGGGGGAAATGGCAAGAGAAAGGACCACAAAAAAAGGGCTGTTTTTCCTGCACAGACCTGTTTATGAAGTGAGAAATGGTTTCAGGGCAGCTGCTGCAAATTCTTTCACTAGCTTATATTTCCATTTGCTTCCTTTTGAAAGAATTTGTTTTATGAGCACAGCGCTTGTCAGGTCATTAGCTTCCGAGTGCATCTGGTACCAATTGTAGACCTCCCTCTCCTCTCTGTCCATGAGGTTGTACTGCTCCATAACTATGCCCCCAATACCCAAGGGCACAACCCTTCCCCACCCCTGTGTTTACCTCCCATTGAATAATCTGAGCTCTTATTCAGTGTAACCTTCTCAGGTGTGTGGATGTGTGTGTGTGTGTGAAGGGGGGTTCTTTTCTCTTGAGACATTTTCTTGTCTCCAGTCTCACACTAACAAGGAACATGACAAGGGAATTTGCTTATTTTCTGCAAGCCACCTAAGGATGCCACTTTTATTACTACTGATTAATTGCACTGGCGTAGCACCATGGGGCCCTAGTCCTGGACCAGGACCCCACTTTGCTAAACACTGTACAAAC